AACTAAACTCCCTTCTGTATTTTACATGGAAGAACAACAACAAAAAACCTCAGGCCGGGCTGGGAAAGTGGCTCAGTGGTAGAGAGCACTTGCCTTGCATGCCTGAGGCCCTGGGTTCCATTCCTCAGCACCACATAAGCAAAAAGAAAAAAGCCGGAAGTGGCGCTGTGGCTCAAGTGGTAGAGTGCTAGCCTTGAGCTGAAGAGCTGAGGGACAGCGCCCAGGCCCAGAGTTCAGGCCCCATAACTGGACCCAAAAAATAAATAAATAAATAACAAAAGCCTAGCTATAAAAAAAACAGAACAAGTTGAAAATTGGGTATCAGAGATCGAAGATAAAGCAGAGTGATTAGATCAATCAAAGAAATTTGAAAAAATTTAAGAAAATATTAATGAGATTTACAAGCCCTCTAGGACACTATAGAAAGACCAAACCTCTAAGTGATGGGTAGAGAAGGAGAGGAGATACAGGTAAAGGTATAAATAACCTATTCAAAAACAAAACAAAACAATAAAACCAGAAACTTCCCCAGAAAGGAAAAGAGAGAAAAAGAAGATAATCCAGGTATAGGATTCCAGAAGACCAAACAGGGAAACTCAAAAGAGAAACATTTCTAGTCATAATATATATTATATCTAAAACACTAAATATATGGATCAAAAAAAGAACATTAAAAGCTGCAAGTGGCGCCAGTGGTTCATGCCTGTCATCCTAACTACTCAGGAAGCTGAGATCTGAGGATTGTGGTTCAAAGCCAGCCCAGGTAGGAAAATGCATAAGACTCTTATCACCAATAAACCACCAGAAAACCGGAAGTGGCACTGTGGCTCAAGTGGTGGAGCACTTGAGCTGAAGAGCTGAGGGATAGCACCCAGGCCCAGAGTTCAAGTCCCACGACTGACAGAAAAAAAAAAAGTTGCAAGAGGAACATGTCACATACAGTGGCAAGCCTGTTAGAATAACAGAAGATTTCTCAGCACAAACTCTCAATGTGAGGAGGTATGGTAGGGCATAATCCAAGCCACTAAAGACCTTTATCACTCTGGGCACTGGTGGCTCATGACTATAATCCTAGCTATGCAGGAGGCTGAGACCTGAGGATTGCAGTTCAAAGCCAACCCTGGGTAAAAAAGTCCCCATGAGTGTTTTTTTTCTTTTTAATTTGTATTTATTTTTTGACTATGTGGTATAAGGGAATTGAACGTAGGGCCTTATGCAGCATGCTAGGCAAGCATTCTACCACTAAGCCACATTCCCAGCCCCCCACCCGCCATGAGACTCATCTCCAATTAGCCACTCAAAAGAAAAAAAATAGAAGTGGAGATGTGACTCAAAGTGATAGGAGACCTAGCCTTGAGCAAACAAGCTCAGGGACAGTGCCAGGCCCTGGGTTCAAGTCTCATGACTGACAAAAAAAAAAAGATAATCATTCACCTACATTAGTGTACCCAGCAAAGCTCTTTATAATTGAAGGAGATATATCATCATTATGACACATCACAACAATAACAGTAACAACCCTTGTATAAATGCCTCATGCACGCCGCTCATGTCATCTCCCCATTACCCCCAAGACAGGAGCTGTGTTCCCCCATTTTACATTTGGGGAAAAGGATACTTAAAGAGAAGTGCTCAAGAACATGTAGCCAGGCCACCAGTCCCTAGGGGTTTAGGTGTAACTTATCCTTAAATTATAGGTAACTCTGACACATAAAAGGGAAAAGAGAGCCAAGTGGAACTGACCACTGGTGGCTCACTTCTATAATTCTATTCTACCCAAGAGACTGAGATCTGAGGATCAGAATTCAAAACCAGCCCAAGCAGGAAAGTCCACGAGACTCATTTCCAATTAATCACAGAAAAAGCTCGAAGTGGTGCTGTGGCTCAAGTGGTAGAGTGCTAAGACTTGAGTAAAAAGGAGCTCATGGACAGCATTCAAACCCAGAGCTCGAGCCCCAGGACAGGCAAGAGAGAAAAACAAAGAGAGAGAGAGAGAATCAACGAGAGAGAAACAAAGAGAGAGAAGCAGAGAGAGAGAAACAAAGAGAGATAAAGAAACAAAGAGAGAAAGAAAAAGAAACAGAGAGAAGCAGAGAGAGAGAGAGAGAGGTGCCGAGAGAGGAAATACATTACTGTGTTCACCTTTTGGGCTCAAAGGTAAATTCCTATTTATTCTAAAGATAATCACCTGAACCGCACTGCAGAGCTTCTGGGCTGGAGAGGTTCAGTCCCTGCTGTGACTCTAGAACCTCACTGACTGCATTTAGCTGGGCCAGCTGCCAAAGAACAGAGCTGCTGTCACTGCACCAAGATGCCAGGCCCGAGCTTGTGGGAGGGCCACTGTTTCAGCAGCTACCAAAGGATCACTGTGCTACAGGGCACACAGAAGAGCCCAGAGGGCTCCCCACCTGAGCCCAATCACCATCCACTCCTGGTTTGTCTGTGTGTTCTTGGCAGAAGCCGGGTGATAAAGAAATCCTGGCTGCCTGGGCAGCTGGAACACCATCCTTTACCTAGCCTCTGAGGCAGGAAGCCACCATGGAGGGAGGCTCAGAGGCCTGAGCAGGGTCTGTTCTTAGGATTTGCCACAGTCCACTCCTTACTTTCTCAGTCCCCCTTCCACCCTATCTTCCCTTCCATACACTCCCATGAAGCCACCACTCAAAGGGCAAATGTATTTCCATCAAATAAGAATAGTCTTCTTGTTTATTCCTAGAGAAATAGCTAAGCCCTGAAGTCCTGCTCCAGGGAACATTGGTGATACTCAAATCTCTGGTTTCGACAAAATTTCATCTTAGTTTTTTTTTTCCTTCTTGTCAGTCATGGGGTTTGAACTCAGGGCCTTGATGCTGTCCCTGAGCTTTTTCACTCAAGGCTAGTACTCAACCACATTGAGCCACAACTCCACTTCCAGCTTTCTGGTGGTTAATTGGAGATAAGAGTCTCATGAACTTTTCCTGCCTGGCTGGCTTTGAACCAAGATCCTCAGATCTCAGCCTCCTGAGTAGCTAGGATTACAGGCATGAGTCACCAGCACCCAGCTTTATTTTCTCTTTTCTTTTAATGATACTGGGATTTGAATTCAAGAGCTTGTGTTTTTAAGGTCTTGAATTCAATCTAACAGGTGATCTGTTAATTGAGCTCTAGACCTTTTTTTTTTTTTTGTGGTTGTAGGGCTTGAACTCTGGGTCTGGGAGCTGACCCTCAGCTCTTCAGCTCAAGACAAGCACTCTACCACTTGAGCCACAGTACTACATCTACATCTGGTTTTCTGGTGGTTTATTGGTGATAAGAGTCAAAGGCTGGCTTTGAACCAGGATCCTCAGATCTCAGCCTCCTGAGTAGCTAGAATTACAGGCGTGAGCTACCGACTCCCAACTAATTTTTGTTGTTGTTAGCATTTCATGTTTCTGCTTAGGACATGATTGCTTCATCTCAGACAGCAATCTTCTTACCTATGCCTTCTGCACCCCTAGAATTACAGTATGCATTACTTCACCCAGCTTTTGTTGAGATGAGTTGAAATTGGCTTACTACCTTTTTCCCTAGGCTGCCTTCAGACATTGAACCTCCTGATCGCTATCTCTTGAGAAGCTGGAATTATAGGCATGTACCATCATACTCCACCCTAAAGTAGTTTAGGGGCAGGGCTGTACTGAGGGCCTTATGCTTGCTAGGCAAGTGGTCTACCATTTGATCCACACCTCCAGCCCTCCATTTTCTGTAATCATGCACTAGATTGGTCCAGTTCACCACCACCAAAAAAACCTCCGATGCAAAATGGGAGAGGATAAAATTAGGACAATCAGTACCAACAATAAATACATGCATGGTGAAGCAGGCAGAGAAAATGTACAGATAAGCACTCCAGTGGCATCTACAACCCCTCCTGCCCCGCATTCAGCTTTCCCTTGCCTTCAGCATGCTCCTCGTGGGGTCAGAGGCTTCACCCATGGGATCATCCACACTTTGTTCAGGAGGAAGCTGAGCCCAGGGTTGTCCTGCTCATACTGAATTGCTGTCAGCTTCGATTAACTTGTACCAGTGGCCGTGGAATTAGAGGCACCCAGAGGATTTCAGGGGATCCAGATGCATACTTCTCATTCTCCTTGTGCAGCTGTAACTGGATTTAACAGCCAGAAGCAGCCACTCCAGCTGACAGAGAACTTATTCCCATCCAACCATCCCCCGCCTTCTTTTGTTTTCTGTTCACTGAGGCATGGGGCATCTGGGATTGCCAGATGGGGCTCTCAACTGTCAAGGCTGTGGAACCTTCACAGTGCTTCCTTGCAGAAACCATTGTTTTGAATACTAGAACTTATACACTAGAAGAGCTCTAGTCTTAAGGAAGAGGAGCAAAAGCATTATTACCTCTGAGGCATGGACTCTGGAAAAGAGAGGAAAACATCATCTTGTAGTGGATTCTAATTAGAGCTTACATCAGATCCTTCACTACAGATGTGCACAAGGCTCTCTTTGAGCTGATACTGAATTTCAGTAGGCAATTTGTAGTGGTGGTGGTAGGGCTTGAACTCAGGGCCTGGGTACTGTCTAAGTTTCTGTTTTGTTTTGTTTGCTCAAGGTAGCCCTCTATCCCTTGAGCCACAGCTCCACTTCCAGCCTTTTGGTAATTAATTGGAGATAAGAGTCTCATGGACTTTCTTGCCTGGGCTGACTTTGAACCAGGGTCCTCAGATCTCAGCCTCCTCAGTAGCTAGGATTACAGGCGTGAACACCAGTACCTGGCTACAGCAGGAGACTCTTACGTAGAGAGCACGTGGCAAGACCTGTAACTCTCAGGCTGACCTGACAATGTTACATTATTGGCTGAAAGCTAAGGTTGATGGTCGAAAGCTGAGGTTGATGGTCAGAAGCAATGTTGTTGGCCTACCATGACAGCTAGACAGTCAGCAGTCTACCACTGATGCTGACAGAAACATAGTAAGCAGAGAATGCAAGACATATCTGTCCAGCGAGGACCAAACTCTACAGCTTGTACCATGAGAGGAGACCAGGGCAACTTGCTGCCACCAGATGGCAGGCTGGTCCTCATGATCGGGTACCATATTGAAGGCTGGAGCACTCCTCTTGGCAAGCTACGCATTCCACAATGATGATGGCTGGGAGACTACAGCAGAGATAGCTACCATATAACAGCTGCCTTCCTCTTCTTCCATAACGAAGCCCTCATTTTATTGAGGTCATTATATACGCAGCCAAAAGGAAACTTTTCCTGGCTTCTTTGCTACCTCCTCAGCTGTGCCAATGAAATGCAGATGGTTCTACATCCTGATTACCCTTTCACTACTCATCCTTCCTCCTGGAACAAGTATATGAAGGCTATGAAAGCATCAGTAGCATCTCGCAGCTTGAGATGCATTTGAGGGTGGAAAGCCTAAGGGAAGTATGTAAAACCTGAGTCCCTGGAGACTCAGTGGCTTCCAGACTACAAGAGAAATAAACAATATCTGACTTAAACCATCATTGTTTAGGGTTTGTCTTCATACAAGTCAAAGCGAATTCTAACTTACATGACACAAACAAGATTGGGGGGAGGATGCAAAAAGTCCTAAATATATCAATAATTACAATAAATATAAATGAGCTGAGTGTATGATTAAAAGACAGAGACTTTCAGAAGATTTTAAGCTAGAGCAGAATCGCTTAAAAATGGACCAAATCAGTCTGTGAACTTCATAGGGAAAAGTAGGAGTTGATTGTCACTAGCTGCGAATTGAAAGTTAGCCTCTTTGTCACTTATAGGCATGGATAACATATCAGTAATATCATATGTTAGCAGTACCTGTGACTTTGACCTCACTAATCACATTATCACAGTATTCCAAAATATTTTCTTCTCTTATCACTCCTTAGTAAGCCTACATTTGTGTCATGTTTAATACATTATCTAAAAAATTGTACATAATGTCCCAACTGGCTTAATTGTTTTGATGGCTATTTCAATACAATTAGTTTGCTTTGTGATCCCACACATTCAAAGCAGTATTTTGAAATGGGCTTCATATGCCTCTAACTACGAAAGGGACATGTGACACCATAAATATGAACTCCTAAAATAGAGAGGTTCCGAGGCTATTCACATCCATATCAGGAAAGAAGGAAACAAGATTTTTTTTCTTGAAAAAGGATATGAAAGAGATTATATACCAAAAATAACTAAATTAAGGGGATGTGATGATCACAAATATATGTACCTAACAACATAGCTTCAAAAGATATGAAGCAATTTGGAAATACATTTAAATTAATAGCTGTAATTAGTTTAACAAACCCTGTCCCAGAAATTAACTGATCAGTGAGAAACAAATAGGAAAAGTTTAAAAAAAAATAGGTTCCAAACATTTGATAGAACTTTATATGTAACACACCTAAAGTATACTAATTTGCCTATCCCTATGAGACATGCCCCAAAACCAACCATATACAAGCCACTGGCAAATGGTGATATAGTTCACACTTCAGGGGTAATAATACAATAACCTATCTAACTACATGCCAACCATATGGAAACTTGAGATGAAATCGACAAATTTTAGGAAAACCCTCCACTGGCTCAAGAGAAAATAGAAAACCTGAATAGCCCTATAACCTTTTGAGAAATTGGGCTGGGAAGGTGGCTCAGTGGTAGAGTGCTTGCCTTGCATGCTCGAGGCCCTGGGTTCGATTCCTCAGCACCACATAAGCAAAAAGAAAAAAGCCAGAAGTGGTGCTGTGGCTCAAGTGGTAGAGCGCTAGCCTTGAGCTGAAGAGCTGAGGGACAGTGACCAGTCCCAGAGTTCAGGCCCCACGACCGGACCCAAAAAAAAAAATCTTTCGAGAAATTAAACTTATTGTTTCATTTTGTTCTTAGACCACCAGGCTCTAGCTGGGTGTGTGAGCCACTGGCTCACGCCTGTATTTTTAGCTACTCAAGGAGCTGAGATCTGGAGTATGGTGGTTTGAAACCATCCTGGCAGACACATTTGATAGACTCAATCTCCAATTATTCCGTGAAACTCAAAGCTAGAGGCATGGCTCAAGTGGTAGAGCTCTAGCTAAGCAAGCAAGACAAGTGAGAGCACAAATCCCTGAGTTCAAGCCCCAATAGAAAATAGAGGCTTGGGAGCCGGGTGCTGGCGGCTCACGCCTGTAATCCTAGCTACTCAGGAGGCTGAGATCTGAGGATCACGGTTCAAAGCCAGCCCGGGCAGGAGAGACCATGAGACTCCTATC